ACATGAAGACCAGGAATAAATGAAAGAACAAATGAACAAACAAAACAAACAAATACATAAATATTTCTGAACAATCCTTTCACACTTTCTGTTAGTACAAACTCAGCTGAATATAAATTTTGAAAAGGAAGGAGAAAATCAGTAGTAGTATAAGCATCCATTAAGATTGCAGTTAAATGAGAATGGTTTTGCCAGCATGCTTGCTTATCACTGAATTTGTTAGCTTTATCTTTAGTAGTGACAGTAGGTTCAAAAGGCACATATAGTACTGAGATATAGCCCTTATCATTTTTCTTAATGGCCACCTGACAACTTTTCATAATTTGCAAGCTGAATGCTATTCATAGCATTTCAGAAAAATAGTTTCCTTAAGAATGAAGAAACATACTTTCGTGTTCTCATTTCAAAGGCCACATATAATTTCAGAAGCAGAAACGTACACCAAGACAAAAATGATAAAAATCACCCTCGCCCCAATTTTGCCAGGTACACATTACTTACCCTATTTATATGTAAATCACATAACTACCATGATATATATAATCTAAGCATCACATCAGTGAACAATATTCCTAACTATTCAAGCTCCAACAGTACTCAATATTCAGAGTTCTGTGACCCACAGCAAATGGAAAGGAGCCAGAAATCACATCTTTCCTGCAATGGGAGCTTGCATTTTAAAGATGGAAGATTAATGAGGCCTTACTTTGATAGGATTAGTTATTGAGTAGGAAACTCAGTTCAGGATCTTATTACAAAAGTGCCCACCTCTCCCCTTGATGAACCTAGCCTGTATTGTTAGAGATGCAGAAAGTCACCTAAGCAATTATTCTAAAGGTAGAACACTGAAGATAGTAATTTAAGGAAAAACAAAAACAAAAACAAAAACACACTGCACATACAAACTACTAAACGCAACTAAATATATGTGATTATTAAAAGAGTAAGAAAAATGTTAGAAAAATTCTCCATTTCATCACACGCTTTCCACCACTATTCACTGTCAACAATCTCTATATTAAAAATATCAAATCTTTTTTCAAAATTAAATTTAAAAATAGTCTCAACATTTTCATATTATCTACAGACCTGAGAAACAGGCCAACAAAATACAACAAACCAAAAAAAACAAGATAAAAGATTTCAAAAATAACAATCTTTTAGTAACATTTTAACTTTGTTAAATACCTTTCATTTTTGCTTATTCTCTGAGACAAGAGAATAGTTGAACAAAGCAAATTTTCTCCAGGTTAAGATATATTCTCCTTTCCCTCATTTTTCTTTGTTTACTCTAGGATTCTCAATAGTGAGACAACTCTTCTCTGAGGGTGTTAGGAAATATATGTAGACTCACTTTTCAGAAATACATGTCAGCATTTAATTGTCACCATAATTAGGGGATTACTACAGGCAGTGAGTGGTTAGGGGCCAGCGAGGTTCAACATTTGCCATGTACTAGACATTCTCATCCCACTAGGAACAGTCCCCCATCCCACATAATTATGAACACCTCATAAGATTAATCACAGTACATAAATAAATTAATACTACTTCATAATAATACTAGTATTAAAGAATTTTTACAAGAAATTACACAAAAATGCCCCGTTAATTATAGGAAGGTGTCATAATAAAGAGGGAAGCATAAATCAAGATAGCATATATAAATTATTGAATTATTGAATAATTAACTCACTCTATAAAGTAGCACATTTAACAAACTCTAATGTACTCTCCACTAAGATTTAACAGAGATTAACATTTTGTGGCAATTGTTTTGGAAATTTTTAAAATCAAAATAATACATTATCAATAGAATGAGTGTACAACTCAATTCTAATTTTCTCTTTTTTAAATATTATGTTTTGTACTTTCTGTAACTTCTGTAAAAATTCCTTCCTAGATGTAAGTAATGAATATGACACTCTGTATTTAGGTCTTGTAGTCAACCTAGAACTTATTTTTCTGTATCGTATGAAGTTGGCTTTGAGTCCCACCTCCCTTCCATGTAGTTACCCAATTGTATCAGGGCCATTTATTCAACAATCCATTCTTTTCTAATTGGCTTATAGAGCCATCTCTGTCACATACCAAAATCTATTTATGGGAAGGTCTGTTTTGTGTATTTTGTTTTACTAGTTTATATCAATTATCACTGCATTAGTTTCCTTTTGGTTAATATGTGCCTGACTTATGTTTCTTATCTCCTTTTTTGACTAACATCCTTACATTTTTCTCTCTTATAAATACCATACAGATGGATTTTTTTTTTAAATGCCTGAAAATTCCTTTTATTAGGCAATCTAATTAGCTTACATTCTTTCTATGATCTTTCTATGTTTTTACAGGATTGGTTGACTTTTCTTTTTCTTTTTTTTTTTTTAAAGATTTTATTTATTTATTTGAGAGAGAGAGAATGAGAGAGAGAGAACACATGAGAGGGGATAGGGTCAGAGGACGAAGCAGACTCCCTGACGAGCAGGGAGCCCGATGCGGGACTCGATCCAGGGACTCCAGGATCATGACCTGAGCCGAAGGCAGACGCTTAACCAACTGAGCCACCCAGGCGCCCCTGGTTGACTTTTCTTTACTCCATACCCCCACACCCCACATTGATTTAGAAGTTCTACATTCTCTATTTTCTTAATGATTACCATTAAAATTTTAATATGCATCCTATACTTCTGCATTTCTTGTGAGTGGAAACACTGACTGCTCTTTGTTCTGGATTATATTTTCCAAGCCTGTTTTTATACAAATATTAGGAAATGTATGTATGGTTGGAAAGCCAACACAAAGATGCTAACACTCCTGCGGCTTGCTGTGCTATGAGTGATAACGTCCTTTGTCTCTGACACAGGAGTCTTGAGTTTTCTGCCAGTGTCCACGAAACCGTAACAGGCTCATTTATTAGCTTTTAAGTTGAGTGAAATCAAACCCCAGATCTGAAAAGATCCCTGAGTTAATGCCTAAGTAAAATGAGTATATTTATTTTCCCATGATATAACACAAAAACATTACAACACTTTTAAGCTGAGTTCTCACCTGCTCTTATCTTTTATAATATTGATAGCTAAAATTTTATTTCTATTCAGCTATTAGCCTTTTCCAAGTTAATTTTATATATAAATATTTAATAGTCATTGTTTAATTAGATTTGTAAGCTTGTGAGGATTAGATGAGTGGTTTATTTAAAGAGGGTGAAGCAGTGCTGGGCACACAGTAAGCACTTAATATATGTTTGCATTATTAAGTTTTAACAAGGTTTTTTGCTCATCCTCCTATACCATACTCATTCAGAGTTCAATTTTTCTGATTAACTAAAGCAAATAGAAATTATATATTTCCTTTTGTGAGTCCTTTCTTAATACTATCTATATTCATGAACATGTGTACAATTTTTATCAGGCTGTCTTGGTAATTCCATACTTATTTTTCTGCATAAATGTTTTTTGTCAATCTACAACACTGCCTGACCCAAGGTCATTTTCTGTTTACTACTGAGCACAATTAGGTGCTTTCAAGAGAGTTCTTTGAAAATAATTATCCCTTCTTTTAGTCTGTGTCTTAGCTATTAGTAGTTTTTTCCCCTCAAATATCTTATTCTGTTATCAATTTGGCACTCAGCTCCTCTATAATTTTTTCAACCCTAGCCATAAAATTTAATGTAGTTTTGTCTTATATGTCCCAGGATGTGAAGCAAGAAAGGTGGGGTTATGTAAAAATGAATACTTACTATGATAATATGTATATTGGTTAATTTTTTTTACAAGGTCTTTTATCTCCATATAACTATAGGGTTTTTCCTTATTTTATTTGTTTCCTAATCTGTATATGTTCTTTTTGGAGCCCTCACTAAACAAACCACGTACTCAAATAAAAGGTATTTCTCCAGAAGCCTAGAAGCAAATGACACTGTAAATGTTAAGAATGGTTACTACAGGCCTGATCAGGTCACAGAGTTATATACAGCACAATACAAAGAGCAATGAACTAGGAGTAAATACATCTATGTTTTAGTCTCTATTCTCCCAATGGAAGATGAACTAGACTAGTTGTCAAATGATGTAAGTTAAAATTTTAGTTCTGACTTATTAGTTTTGTTATCTTCTCAAACATTATATTCTCAATTAAATGCTGAAATTATCTGCTTCATATGCCTTGCAGGTTTGTTTTGAGAATCAAATGAAATAATGTTTACGAAAGTACTTTTAAACTTCAAAGCATTCTGCAAGTATTTATACTATAAGTATTATTAACACTTCAAATAGATTAGTTGAGCATTAATATAAACATTTTTCATCTCTAATCTTACCATCAATAAACTGGTCCCTGAATATGAGTCTTAAGAAGAAAGGCATGATCAGGAAACAAAAAAAGTTAAGATGGAATAAGGAGAACTCTATCTCAAAAATGTTTTTTTGAGGTTTATAAAAAGCTATGATACTATACTCCAAAACACTTCTAAAAGAGGTTTGGCTGCATGTCACGCACCACAGATGAGTAACAGGCTAACTAACCATGGCTAACCTCTAAAAGTCAACTCTGACTTTTGGGTTGACATGGACTGTTAAGAAGCCAATGAAGTAAGCCAAAATCTGGCGAAGCTTCTGAGGTTAATATATCAAAAAAAACACAGAAGCAGCTACTTAAAAATTCACTAAAGTTCAAATTTCCTACTTCTTTAAAAGCAGCCCTGAATATCATAAAATCCAAGTGAAAACCCTTACAGCACAGTTTAAAACAACAAACTAAAGTGTTTTTCAAAACAATTTGATAGTGCCAAAAAAATTAAAATAACATACTTTCCCTTTACTTAAAGTGAGAATATGGAAGGTAATCACACAAACTTTATAACAGAAGGCTATAGCTGGTAACAGAAACTGGTTCAAAAACACGGACTTCTTATGACAACACAACTTTAAAAACAATACTCTTTTGTGCTACCTATTTTTGCTTTATTTTTTGCCTCAGGTTCTATTAATGTACCAAGTACTTACATCTGGGATAAATCCAATCTCATTGAGATGATTGCTCAGCTCTGGATCATGGAATGCAATCATCTGTGAGAACACGGTCAGATACTCTGAAATGACAGTAAAGTTTAAGACAACCACCATTTTTACATAATACTTCAAATAAAGACATTAAATGCATATAAATTAGTTTTATTTACATTTTCAATGATATTTAATTTCTCCATGAAGAAAATATACTTTAGTAGGTAATTTTCTGTTTTATTACCATTTTAATCACTTACTACTAATTATTAAACATACCAAAAAGCTATGGCACAACTTATTTTCTACCTTCTGAACTACTGATTCATTTCTTGAATCACAGATTACACACGTGATATTTTCCTATTAAATTCAATATACATTTTCTCTCACAATATTAAATCTGTCTTGCATTATGGTATATTCAGAAAGTGGAACAGATATTTAAATAAGAAACGATGCTTTTTTTTTAAGATTTTCTTTCTTTATTAATTTCTTTCTTTATTTATTTGACAGAGACACAGCGAGAGAGGGAACACAAGCAGGGGGAGCAGCAGAGGGAGAGGGAGAAGCGGACTCCCTGCTGAGCAAGGAGCCTGATGCAGGGCTCGATCCCAGGACTCTGGGATCATGACCTAACCCAAAGGCAGATGCTTAACTGACTGAGCCACCCAGGCGCCCCAGGAACAATGCTTTATAAGCAATCACAAGTGGAATAGTTATACTTTAATTTTGTTTATATATACAGATATAGGCATTTGTTCCAGTTCTAACGTATTTCCATCTAAGGCTCTACATTTACCATATTTAGGAATAAGAATTAGCAAAATCTTAATCAGAAAATAGGCACACAGTAGGCAATTAAAAATATCTGTTGTTGATTCTAATCCTATTGTAATTGATAAGTTCAGTTAAAATATGAGGAATATTCCCTTATTTTCCCCAGTCTTTCAACAAATTGCTTTTCTTGTCAATTTACTCACTATGTTCTAACCTGAACAAGATTCTGGCAATCATCAACTCAAGGGCAAGTTAACCGTATTTTTACAAAGCAAAAAGACAAAATTAACACATATTTTAAGGAGCTCAATTTTTTTTTTCCTTTTTGAGACTAAAATGACAATAACTCGATAAAATGAATAGAATGCTGCCTTACTTAAATCTAACAGTTACTATGAAGATAAAGAACTGAACAAATATGACTTATATTTTTTGCAGTTAAGAACAGAGGGCTTGGGGAGGTTTCATGACATATTTAGGATTATTCTCTAGTTTATGACAGACAGGCTCATAATTTAGGTTTTCAGATTCCTAGTGGTGTTTTTCTTGCTGTGCCAAAAAGAAGCATATTTCAAAAGAGCAGAAAGTGTGAGTTGTAGGAATATTGGAGAATGTGGTAAGAAAAATTCCAGGTTATCTTTGTCTTTCTGAAGGAAGAAAGACTTTCACTACTTCCCAGGGATTCCCCTGGAAATGGTATGGAAGATGCTGAGGAATTCAGCATGATGATGGAATGAGGCATTTGTAATGCTAAGAAGAGAAAAACAGACTGAGATGGGACATTTTTAAGCTTGTTTTCAACTGCAGTTTCGTTATGTGAATAAACTGTACCTTGTTTATATTTGGTTCAAAACAACAGTTCTTTTAAGAAAACAAGAACTAAATAAAATTACATTTTAAAACTCTGGTAAATCAATCATCAAAACTGTTTTCCTCTATCAAATAAGGTCAAAACTTGAACTACTAATATTGCTATTTCTGAGCCATCTCCACGACCCACGTCGTCCCACAGATGTGGTTAGCGTCTGTAATATGGCTGTTACATGGTGCCTGTTACATGATAGAGTACTTTTCGTATCTTTAAAAAATGACAATAACTCAATGAACATTTTCTCTTAATAACTTCAACTCCTTCTTCCAATAAAGTAGATCAAACCAATTATTTGGTGAAAATAACCTATAAAAATAATGTCTTTCTTTTTTTTTAGTTTTTAAAGTATCTTATTTTTAATATTTCCAGAAATAGTACTAAGTCCTCAACAATCTGTTAGTATAAGTAGCATTCCCTCTTTTCCTCAATGAAAACTTTGCCTCTATTGGGTGTTGTATGTAAGTGATGAATCACTAAATTCTACTCCTGAAACTTAATATTACAATATATCTCAACTAACTGGAATTTAAGGAAAAACTTGAAACAAAAACAACAAAAAAATAAAACTTTGCTTCTAATAACCCCAATGTATTTTATAATTATTAACCTATAAGCAATGATACATATTTTACAAAGAGGAGCACCAAGAAGCACCAAAAAGAAAAGACGAGGCAAGGCGGTGCTGTATTCAAGATCAGGATAAAGCTGAATTCCGGATCTAATTTGAACTTTTACCCATGGGTGCTGGGTAAAGAATAGGCATTTGATTAATATTTTTCTGGATTTGATGTTTACTCTATAGCAACAGAATTCATTCTATCTATCCACTGTCTCATCTTTTCCTCTAAGAACAAGAAAGATACAATTCACATCAGCTTCAAGAGTTACAGATTGAGGTGAAAACTCGGGTTGGATCCCACTGCCTCAGGGAACTTCTGGGTTTAACCTTTAATTTTTTTTTTCTATTTCTAATTAGCAACAGTATGTTTACAGTCCTAATTTACCTAGAAGCTAGTGGTATGTAACACCAATAATCATAAGCATTCAACTATATGCTGATGAAAGCATACAGTTATTAACTTTTAAAAAGTGCACTTCATTTTAAACTAGAAAATCATGCCTCAGCCAATTCCCCACAGCTATGCTCCAGTTTACTAAATATCATTCTTATGATATTTAGAAAAGAGGTGGGTTCAAAAGAAGAGAAAGATAATTTTTAGGCCTACACTTGTCAGCTATTTTCTTTTCGGCTCACATACCCTGCTCCAGTAAATCTACAAACTCAAATAGTAAAGGCAGACATTTTCAGTCTCAGGAAAAATCTCTTTAGTCACATGATGTAAGACTTCTTGAAAACAGCAAGGACCGTAAGTTCAATGTATTTCCTACTATCTCCCAATATCCTATCATTAAAGCCATCCATGACAAAGATGTATATTCAACCCCAAACAAGCAATGTACTGTTTTTTCAAATGCATGACCCTTTTGGTGAAATTGCATATTCTCCCTCTCTCTTTCTTATCGTTTGATGAGAAAGGAGATTTATATTATACTCGCATTTTGACAGCTGTCCTTTAGACTCCACCTTTAGTCTATCTTCCTTCCTCCTTCTGTCCTCAAAAACTTATTGAATGTCTATGTGCAGTGTGACCATACATCCTGGTTACATGGAGAGTTCCAGCTGCCACCTGTAGGCTCAGTGTCTGGTGCAGTTAGTGTGCTTTTATACTCTGAAAAATATCCCAGTTTAGTTATATAGCCATCCTAGCTATGTGATGCACTACATTAAATGTTAGAGAATTACAGAGAAGAAGATATCATCCTTTTCCCCAAAGGATTTAGAAACATATACAGGAAAACAGAATATTGGGAAATTTTTCATGCAATTTTATTTCCTAGGTTTATATGGTATTTCTCTCTCCCTTTCCCTTTCTGACTTATAGGAACCACATCTTCCAATGGTCCAAGTGTGAATATGCCTTAGTTTTATAAACAGTACAAGAGGGACGCCTGGGTGGTTCATTCAGTTAAGCGTCTGCCTTCGGCTTGCCTTTGGCTCAGATCATGATCCCAGGGTCCTGGGATCGAGCCCCGCATCGGGCTCCCTGCTCAGTGGGGAGTCTGCTTCTACCTCTCCCTCTGCTTGCCGCTCCCCCTGCTTGTGCTCTCTCTCTCTGGCAAATAAATAAATAAGATCTTTAAAAAAAAAATAAACAAACAGTACAAGAATGTTTGAAGTTGTAGCAAAATTCCAATTGCTGTTTTGGTGAACAACATACAGCAGAATGACTTTGAAGTATAGTTTAAAAGTTTATAGGCAGGTTTTCTAGGTTGTTCCTTTCTTAACTGAAAAATGACATAAAGGTATAGTTGGGTTTTCCACAAAGGATTAGTTCCCATTCTTTTTTTTTTTTTTTTTTAAAGATTTTATTTATTTATTCATGAGAGACAGAGAGAGATAGAGAGAGAGAGAAGCAGAGGGAAAAGCAGGCTCCCAAGGAGCAGGGAGCCCGATGCAGGACTCAATCCCAGGACTCTGGGATCATGACCTGAGCCGAAGGCAGATGCTTAACCATCTGAGCCACCCAGGCACCCGGGTTAGTTCCCATTCTTAATAATTAAATGGCTGCCTCTCTTCACTGGCCTAAAGTTGCCTTTTTTCTCTTCAATAGCCTAAAGTATGTCTGTTCTGCAAGTTATAAGCCTGTTTTCCAGTATCTCTGCAACTCTAACCAATCTATCCCTTTCAGACTCCTCCACCTTTTTCAATCCAACTGTTACTCTAAGGTTCTGAGTCTAAGAGTAATTCTAGGAATCTTAATTTAGAGGTCCAACTCTGAGCTGTTTAACCAGTATATTTTACATTCCTGTGTATTGATATTTCATCAACTCGATAGTAACATTACTGGGGATAATCTGATAGTGCCAAAAATGATAAAGAATATTCATTTAGGCTAGAAGTAAATTTTTTATCTTCTTTAAAAATGTCTGCAGTAACAAGTTAATAGGATCATGGTAAACAAACAAACAAAACAGGATATCTTGATTAAACAGAATTTTTGTCTCTTCTGTAAGAGGCAAAGCATTTTAGAGTCTTATGAATATGTAAATACTGTATTTTATGAAAAAATTTAAAATAAAAACTTCCAATTTCTATCCATTTATAATTATAAAAACAAATACTTTTTCCAAATAACATTTAAAATTGCTATCTAATATCGAAACTTTTGGTTTCTGTAGAGACAATTCAATGACTCAACGAATATGCAATTCTGCAATTAGCTGTTGAGTTGATTGGTTTCATATGATAAACAATTTTTCCAAATCTTGTGGGGGAAAAAATGTGCATGTGTTATTGATACTAATCAAAAATCAGTGTCACTTTGAAGTTTAAAGCTTAAAATGCTATATAACAAAAGGGGAGGGGAGGACACACAAAGAAGGAAAACAATAAAATGAGAGCTGAATATTTCTAATTCCAAGCCTAAAATAGACATTTTGAAGAAAAATAAACCACTATTCTTCCATAAACTTTAGTAACCAATAATCAGCATCCTGTTTCACCTCATTCTTTAGCTCTTTTTTTGAACTTCAGGCATCAGATTTGACTACTGGTTATTTTATCAACCTATTTTGGACTTTTTTACTGCAGTTCTCTTCCTTGTTCTGTCTTAAGGATATCTTTCTCCCTTTTTGCCAAGCAAATTCCTACTCAAATTTCAAATTCATCAATAAATATCCCCTCTTTCATGAAACCTTTCTAGACATGCTATCAAAAAGAAAAGAAAATTTGGAAAAAACACAAAATAACTTCCCCAACTTCTTCCTCTGTGCTAATATAGCAGTATGTATATTTATTTCATTGGTGTATAAATAGTTTTCATATTTATTTCCTATACTGGGCTATGAAATCCCTTGGAAAAGGCCTGAGTGCTATTTACCTTAGGAAATTCTATTAAGTAGTGCCTGGCTTAGAGTCAGTGCAGAACAATTACTTACTGAAAGACTACATTTGTTGAAATTGCTTTTTTCTCTTTCATTTTTTTTTTGAAACTTTTTTTCTTATATAATATGTGGTCAACACAAAAACTGAACAAATAAGACACCTTGTTTATTGTTTCTTGGGAAAATATACATGCTACATTTTTCATCATAAAATTAAAGAACATTTACTGTAGCTTTGAAAAGTTTTAAGATTAGTTACCAATTCAAGATTTCAAACACAAATTTATAGAAATTATAAGTGAGAAAATTATTAACATTGACAAAAATAAGCTTTAAGTAATTGTATAGTATTTTAGTTACAATATGAGAAAATTAACATAAAAATAAAATTTAAATAATTGTATAGTCTTTTAATTACAATATTGTTAAAATATATTACTGATTAACAAATTAAGAGTGGCTTGGCCTTTCTGACTAAGTCCCTCCAAATTCATGTTGTGGACACTACGGTTTCTCTTTTACTTATATGAAACAAGATCTTGTCTTATTTATTTGTATAATAAGCCTTTTTAAAGTGTATTAAAAAAGTTTGCAGCTAAAAAGTATAAAAACTCATTTTTTTCAAGTTGGAAATTCATTATCAATATAAAATATACTCATTCATCTGTATTATAAAACAATTACCAGAAAAATGAAACTAAATTTTTCGAGGTAAATCATTTCTGTATTTTGAAATAGGAATCTATATAGAACCATAAGAAAAAAATGAATATAATAGAAGCTATGTAATATGGCCTTCTGAGAGCTAGCTAATTCATTTTATAAGTTCTGTTTTTTGTTTTATTATGTTATGTTAGTCATCATACTTTTTTATTATTATAGAAGTTCTGTTTTAATTGCTTTTTTTTTTAAGGATTCTCCAAATATCTTCATCTTCCTTAAAGTATAGGATTCTGGCTAGGCATTATGCTTTAAGAGAGACCTGATAAATTTGGGAAAAGATTACTTCCAGGCTTTATATATGAAAACTCAGTTAAAATTATGGGTTCATGTTAGCTTTAAAAATAACAGCATTATTTCTGACTTTACTTAACTAAAGATTAAGGAATCACCTTTTGTGATGCATAAATACTTACCTGAATATTTTCTTTTTTTTTTTTAAAGATTTTTATTTATTTATTTGACAGAGAGAGACACAGCGAGAGAGGGAACACAAGCAGGGGGAGTGGGAGAGGGAGAAGCAGGCCTCCTGTGGAGCAGGGAGCCCGATGCGGGACTCGATCCCAGGACCCTGGGATCATGACCTGAGCTGAAGGCAGTCGCTTAACCAACTGAGCCACCCAGGCGCCCTTACCTGAATATTTTCTACTTTTAATCTTTTCAGTTTGTTTTGGTCACTATTTGATAAATTATTTGCATCACATAGTCTCTGAAATCTCTTGGTATCATTCAAGGTGTTATTAAATCCACTCATTTTGGATTTTGCTGGAATCTTAAAGAGTATACTGCCAATTCTATAATAAACATCACTGACAAAGGTAATAAGGAAACTGTGAATAAGTATGGAACACATCTCAATAAGATACAAGATACACGCTTATAATACCTAACTTCATAAATTCTCAGAAGTTGACATTACATGACACTTGAAGTTGGGTGGCTTTACTAAATTAACATAAAAGCGAAAAGCAACTTCCTTCCTATAAAACATATTTGTCTTTGGTTATAGTGGTCATTAGAAAAATACCATAATTCTTTATGGACTTGAAGAAAGACTAAACCTAATGGTCTCTTTATGGGTTTTAGTGATGGATTATTATCATATTTTATGGGGTCACAATCATAAATTTAATTTAGTATTGGTTATTTTTGACATAAGCACTTTCTCTGTAAAAAGACAAGTAAAGACATTTGCTTACCTTGTATTACATGTGAGTTGTCTTTCAAGAAGAAGTTATACAGGTATTTGGGGATAAAAGCAGACATACATGCATAAGCCAAGGCTAAGAAAGAACAAGGCAAAGAAATACAGCAAATTAGTTAATGGGATAAATGGTCAGCAGTCACTCAGCACACAATCCTTGAATCTACTATTAAACAAGAGTCATATTAACATTGATGGAAACACAAAATTAAGTGGGGGAGAACCACCTATCCTTTAAAACAGAAAATATTTTGGACAATAAAAGATAACTATCCTAGTAACTTTTCAGTTTTGAATGAGTGTGGCAATCATTATCCCACAACAATAAAAACTTTTATTACCAGAACTTTATACTTAAAAATATCTAAATTTGGTCATTATTAATGAGCCATACAGACCTTAAGATCCTTAATTTTTGATGATACAAACAAAAGAGTATGAGAACTTTGGATTTAGGAGCTCTAGTCATAAATTGTTCTTTCAAACACAGATCTCTTAATATTCTTGGATCAGTATGTATGATAATAGACTGTGCTTAACTACATATAGCAAAATCTCTGCTAGATTAATGAGTATTGATGTCAGAAAACAGTGCATTTTAAAAATCATTCAAATAGTGAAATTTTAGCTCTCTGGGATTATGCTATCTCTACTCAATTCCTGAAATCTTTGTAAATTCTGACATGAAATAAAATTTGAAAAAGATGGAGATCCAAGATACTTATAGAGATTCATGCTATATAGGGTATCAGTCTCTAGATGTGATATCATTAGTGATTAGAGTCAATTAAATTTAACAAATAGGGGCACCTAGGTGGCTCAGTTAAGCGTCTTCCTTCGGCTCAGGTCATGATCCCAGGGTCCTAGGATCAAGCTCCGCATCGGGCTCCCTGCTTCTCCCTCTCCCACTCCCCCTGCTTGTGTTCCTGCTCTCTCTCTCTCTCTCTGTCAAATAAATAAATAAAATCTTTAAAAAAAATTTAACAAATATTTTTTGAAAAACCTACTATAAAAGAGGCATTATAAAAACAAAAACAAAGAGGGGCACAGAAAATAAAAAACCTGTCATTAAAAAAAGCTACTAACCAAAGAAAGGGTTACTATGTTAGTATATAAACAACTAAAATATAAAAACATACACAAGATAAATTTCCAGAAATACAAGGTGCTATATGGGTTTAAGAGGGAGAGCAAGAAAAGTCTTATTAAGGAATGACTGAAATGATTAGCTTTGGAGATATAAGACCACTATTTATTTCTTTACAAACTGTTTAGAAAGTATACATAGACCAAAGCTAGTCTCTAAAGAAGTTAAATTTTCTCCAAAGTTTCATTAAATGGTCACCAAAGAAGATGAATGCATAATCAGATACTCCCTAAATTTCTAGTCACTGCCTTGTTACAATTGAAACTCTAGTAATAAATTAACCTTTTACATTCTCTAAAATGAGTCTAACAGATTATTTCACAGAAATTTACAGTATCTACTAGGAAGAGATCAAGAACCTTACAATAAAAACAAAAACCTTTCCTCTTTGAATAAAATACTTTAGAAAAATATGTACAATGATTATTTAAATGATAAATAGGCTTACCTTCATTATTGAAATTTAAATATAGGAATGGAGCACAAAGTGAATCAAGACCTGATGGGAAGGGGTTGGGGGGAAAGAATGCAGTAAATATAAATCAATATAAGTATATATACATACCTTATTCAGTTCCCTGCATTACTTCTACATAGATTAAGCATTATAAGTATTACTCATCCAGAAATATATTACATCATGGGGTAGTTTGAGGAGTAATTGATAATGACCGGCATATAGTAAATGCCCAAATCAAATCAGATATTGTTATTATTATCTATTATTATGAGTTAAAGAGAGAAATACAGTAATTGAAAAATGTAAAATTGATAGAAGGCTTGACTATAGTCTCATCTCTGACCCTGTGTGATCTTGGCAATCATTTTAACATCTCCAAGCACGTTTCCTTATCCTGGCGATGGAAATTTGTCTTACAAGTTTCTCTGGGATGATGAAAAGCAATCTTTCAAAAATTGTAAAGTAAAATACAAACATGTTATATATTTCTTTTATTGATAATAATGCTGTTCATGTGTTGTTATGTTGAAGGAAGGCACATAAATCTATCTATAATTGTTAGGAAGACACAGAACTCTAAAAGGGATAAAGCTAGGAAAAATAATAGCTTCGCTTTAAGTTTGGCCAGAAATTGAGATTTAAAATATAAAAACTACTGTTCATAACAACAAATTAAAAAATAGAACTGGGAAGAATGGCCATCTCATTCATCAATTTATCAGTGACTACAAAAATAATGAGAAGGGCTAAAAATCAAGGATATAGAACATTAAAGTTATTTAATAAAAGAGAAATAACAAATATAATAAGCAGTTTAGGGTAGTATCCTATTCTCCAATTCCTAATAACCATGATAACTAAGTTGTAAATCATTAAATGACAAGAATATCAACTAGCCCCAAATTATTTATGGTACAATATTATTTTATTATTTGCATAAGCATTAAAAAAAGTATCCCCAGAGATTACAACAGCACAAAATATTCTTCCTACTTTCCTAATCAACATTATGGTAAATTGTTTCATTAAATATCATGCATTTAAATGATATCCACTAGGCATTTAGACAAAGTTAAAAAAATGTTCTCTCTAAAAACAGATAACCAGTAACAGCTTTCCTCAAAGCCAAGGATATTTTGATATTTTGTTTTAATTTTTTAAATTGTCAGTCATGCAACATGCGCCTTATACTTCAAAAAGAAGCTTAATAATTGGGGGAAAAAAATGTTACCTTGCCAATACACAAGATCAGGATGAGACACGACCCAGGCTTTTAATACACGCCTAAATTTTGCATGACCTTCTGGTGATGATAACAGTTCATCATACTGATGACACCGAGGAATATCCACTTCAATCTGTAAAACAGCAAAACAATAAGATGGAACTGGAATAGAGTGATCTCCAATAAATCTCAAGATAAGGAAAAGGAAAGAGTGTATCTTGAATTTCAGAATAGACCATCTACATAATCCTGGTGTCTGAAGTTTTTAAATTTTATAATAGTCCTCTGGAAACACCAAAAAAGTTGCATGTATACTTAAACAAAAAAGCAGACCATTTCTATTGAAAAGGTATATATTAATATAGTTTTCAAAAAACCTTCCTTTATAACCTGGTCTAAATAAAGGGCAAATTCTTCAGATAAAAAAGTATAATTATTAGGAAAAGTTACTTGGTCTAAACTCCTTTGAAGCATTCTAACTCACTAACTTGTGAGTAAAATAAGAGCTATGCGTACACATATACATATGATGGCTGCTGAGTTTCATAATTAAGAAAATTCTTCTTGCCTTTCTAAAATTTAAAGATTTGGCAGAATTATCTTAGGTTGTTTAAGAAAATCTAAATCATACCTGTCTATCTGTAGGAATTGGAGTATCTTTATCAATTGCATCATACTTGGCATGAATAGCTCCCTGCAAAAAATAAGAGAAGATATATTAATTTATCATATCCTTAATAAATTATTGACTTAGACAAAATATAGTTCTTAGAAACATCTATCTCTGAAAGCACACCCAATTATAGATAGGCACATTCAAACCCAAAGCATCCTCTTAGAAAATTCTTCACATCTTTTACAATCTGTGATGAAAGTCTGTGACAATTTACCATTTTGCTAAGGCAGTCATTTGAATTACACGTACAGGAAGACAAATATGTTAAAAGAGTCTTAATGAGTATGCTTAGCTAATCTCCCAGCTCCCACAACACAACACAGCCTTGCTGTGCTCTATTCATTGTCAACTCACACATAGTAAGTTTCATGAAGAAATTTAAAAAAAAATGGGGGGGGTCATCCCTTGAGAAATTTTCCTGTAAAATTGGAGATGAAAGCAAAAATAAAATAAAATTGTTTAAAGGAGTTCAGCACCAGAAGGAAGAGGTTTGGGACAAATGAAAGAATGAAATTCCATGTGGAATCCCTAATGGAATCATTGAGGGATTAAAGAGATTATTTACATTTTCCATTTATAGCTCTACAGAAAGAATAACTGAATAAACTACTTCAAATTTTGGTCATGTTCTATAGGATCAGGCATAGATCAATTCTTAATTCTCTGGTTTACTGTAATGGTAGAGAAAGAGCTAGGAATTTAGAGTTCAATCTCCGATGTAACATGCTATTATCAGCATCTCTGGTACATCTACCTTATAAGACATTTGGACAACCTGACCTTGGAATTCCTCTTGAATTTTAGCATTATATGGTTCTACAATTCTAATTATCACCATATGGTAGGAATAACAGGCATTCTTATTAAGCAACCAACCAAACTCAAAGATATTTGTAGACTTTCACCAAAGAAATCAGGAATAAAGGAAGGAATTCTTTCAATAGAGAGTTAAAAGGATTAAAAATACTTGGGAGAATTCACACACAAAAAATAGGTGATGGATATCCATAAGATATCTATAAGAGAATATAGAAAGGCAGGTGACAAAGAAATTGACAGGAAATGAAAAAAATTGGCAATGATTTGGCCCATTATCATGACTGCTGTCACCAAAGTCTCTGTTAGTACGGCAAGTCACTCTAATAATGTGACACCTTGCCTCTTCTCACTGCCACAGATAAGGTATTATAGAAGACAAAGTAGCTATTTCTCCTGGCAGCATGGTTCTGGTAAGATAGATATGCCAAAAGGCACTAAATTATATTAATGATTTTTGACAAGGTTCAAATTAGAATGGAATATTTTTCCTTATAAATAAGCAGTTCTATTTCTAAATGAACATACTTTATAAGCAGGGCTATATACTTATAACTGAAATATATATTAAAATATTCTGATTTTAAAATGTATAATCAAGATAATTTCTGAGTCCCATTAAATGAAATATTAAATAGCATAAATCTAACAAGACTTCAATTATATTTTTCTATTCTATCTAGTCTATTCTTTTCTTCTATTGCTTTCACTATAAACTGCCAAATAATCTTAACTCAAATTTTACTATATAATTTCCTAACAACTTGGAAAATATATATTCAGAAAGTACTTTCCTTCTTCCTTTTTTCTTAACACCATTGATCAGCTTCTAACATCTTTTCTTTTTTTTAAGATTTTTAAAATTAATTAATTAACTAATTAATTAATTTATTTATTTATTTGACAGAGAGAGAGACAGCGAGAGAGGAAGCACAAGCAGGGGGAGTGGGAGACGGAGAAGCAGGCTTCCCGCTGAACAGGGAGCCCGATGTGGGACTTGATCCCAGGACCCTGAGATCATGACCTGAGCTGAAGACAGACGCTTAATGACTGAGCCACCCAGGTGGCCCACCTCTTTTCTTTCTTACCTCAACTCCCAGAAGGGCAGCCCAGGTTAAACCTCTCATAAGAGGAGGAATGTCAACTCTTGCTTCTTTCCAGATTTGATTTTTTTTATACGGATAAGCCTATAGGTAAAAAAAAAAGATATGAAAAATACCTCAAGTTAACAAGTACCTTCTTTTAATCTAAATAGATCTGAATATACCAGTGATAAAGTTGAAGGTGACTTGCAATAAATTTCCAAGTACCTGAAATTATTTTACCTGATGTTATTAATACATATTAAGTTAGTAGTGGAATAGTTCCCTAGCCTCTGTAAATCTTATATAATACAATCAAAGAGAGGAGCTGAATCTACTGTTTTTAACCATCCCTCTCTATTTTATATATATTTTTTATTATGTTATGTTAACCACCATACATTACATCATTAGTTTTTGATGTAGTGTTCCATGATTCATTGTTTGCGTATAACACCCAGTGATCCATTCAGTACGTGCCCTCTTTAATACCCATCACCAGGCTAACCCATCCCCCCACCCTCCTCCCCTCTAGAACTCTCAATTTGTTTCTCAGAGCCCAAAGTCTCTCATGGTTGGTCTCTCCCTCCGATTCCCCCACTTCGTTTTTCCCTTCCTACTATCTTCTTTTTTTTTTTGACATTTAATGGATTATTTGTTTCAGAGGTACAGCGCTGTGAATTGTGTAAGACTGTTGAATCACAGACCTGTTAAAGGCTCTTAATACAAAATTTAAAATAGCTTTATAGAATGCTTTAGCCAATTTACACTTACTTCAGAAGAATGAGAGTTCCAATCTCAATATGCATGTACTCACTTCGCTAATTCCATACGGAAAAAAAGTCTATTTTTTTTCAGTCCCAGTAACGATACATATTTTGAATAGATTTACTGACTAGCTGTATTTCTATTATGTTTTTTATCCATTTCTCTGTTTCAATGATAGTCCTTTTCCCTATTGATTTTTAAGTGTTTTTTAAATAGCAAGGATATTAAATATCTTTTGTCTAATGTGGTTTTGCATAGATTCCTTCATCTTGTTTTTACTTTTTAATTTTACTATTATCATGTATCATTTTTATTATTAATCAGATAAAATAGGTCCTAAGAATTAGTGTTCTCATGACATCAAGATTCCCTAAGAATTACCAATGAAATAAAAAAAAAATAAAGACTGTATATGGACTCTTTCACCTTACACTTTAGAGTCCTACCTTTAGTAGCCTGTCAAAGAGGATGATTCTGTTTAGTTGGTACTCTGTGTCCCTCTCTCGGATGATTAAAGGGAGAGTGGCAGCCGCAGACAACTCATTATTGCTGTTTGAATGAGGTAAATTAGACTGGCTATAAAAGAGAAACAAAAGGAGAAAAATTGACAAAATGTATAAAATTAAAAAAAACAGAACACCACATTTTTGTATTCTACTTAGGAAACAATTTTCCAAAAAGATAGGCAGGCTTCTTATCAATCTAATAGAAACAGAAAAGAAAGATAATGGTAAAAAGAATATATATATATACATATATATATATACTCACTCATCTTCAAGTAGTGGGTAAAATGCTTCTCCACCAACATCTTTTAACCTCTGAATTTAAAGAGAAAATATTTATGATATTTAAGATCTGAGACAGAAACAGTCATCTTTATTTAAAAGGAAAATGATGTAAAATTATATATTTATAAATATAGCAAGGAAACTACAAAACAGAATTTAAAATCCATTTATTGTAAACATGCAAATACACCATGCCTCCAGTGATTAAGTTTCGCTGTAAAGAATATTCTCTGTTGTTTTGGTTTTTTACCTTCAGGCATTTCTCATAAATGTTAGATTGTTAATGTTAGAATGTTAAATGTTACCTATTATGATAGTTTTCTAAACACAAGGCAGAATTGCTAAAATTAGTATAAAATTGAATAAATGGATAAAACTTTTTAAAATTATGTGAAGATTATATAAAAAGGTACTTTTTAATACACATCTCTTAATTTAAAACTTGAGTCCAATGTATTTTTGCCTTGACATTAATACAAACTAAGACAAAAGTAAGGTGCTAATAAAAGGATTCAAAAGAATTTCTCACATCATACTTTGAACATGCATGATTCAAACAGTTGGTAAACCAGCTGACAAAATTCAGTTTTTTTCATTCTGTTTTTCACAAACATATTATAATAAATGTTACTCCAAATAATAACATTGCCAGGATTATAGATATTCAAAAACATAAGAAGGCAGGCAATAGTAAAGTAAAATCATAGATACATCCTAAGTAGGGTGATTAACGTTATTGTCATCTTGCCTGCTGCTCTGCTCTTCAGTTCAAGTTCCAACTTGAAGGCAGAGTACCTGCTCCTGTGGGGACTGACACAGAAGTTCAAGCTCTGTGTGTAGCCAGCATTGATCTTCTGTTGATTAGAGTTACTGTGTACTCACCCACGTGAGTTAGCCTCAGAATTTTTAAAAGCCAAAGAAAAATCGTTTACCCACAACTGAGACTCTGGCAAACACTGATTTTATGCCTGGCTTTTCTCTAAAATTTGATGTGCTGTAGATTTATCCCATTTTGCCTCTAAACTTTTAGGTGTTTCTTTTGTGGATTAAAATTCTAAGTAGAAAAATAATATTTTCTCAAATTTTACCCCATTATTTAATATGCACATTGTTTTAAAATTTGGGTTTTACTGTCCTGAAAGTCATAGATATTATAAGTAACTTTTCTGCTTTTTTTGTATTAAAAATTTAGCATATTAAAAGTACAAAAAGGGCAAAAATACAGAAAAGTAGAAGGTAAAAATTATTTGGTTTCCATATTATTTGTAAAATCAGCAACATAAACTTTTTTCTTAATAATTATAGAAAAAAGTATTTTAAATTTCAAAAGTGGGAATGTAAGGTCATTAGCAAGTAAAATTAAAGCCTTGTATTCATTTAACTTATGTTCATATACTTTGGATTATATTTAAAGAAGCAAATTAAGGGTAAAATCAAATCAGTCAAAACCATATATTTAGATGTAGTTTATTGTTTGTTGCTTTGTACTGCTACTTATTTCATCCACTATACACATTCTTTCTTTTCAAAGAGATTATGTTTAGTGTATCATGTAGTAATAATTATATATTTAAATGCTCTATTCCTTGCATTATGGCAGATAAGAGATTCTAATTCCCTCCTCCTACATAATATGTAAAATATTAAATGACAGGAAAAGCCTAAAAATATAAGAAAAATGCAATGATAGGTGACCCAAAGCTAGGCTTAGAGAGAAAGGATATAAGCTAGAAATAAAGTATATTGATAATTGTGGCCTAGGGTTTTAAGCACAATGGGACAAAGACTTGGGCATCTGTTGAACAGGCAGCCAGACTGGAGGAGACCCTGCTATATTCAAGTAAAGAAAGAACTGCATGTTTTGGGGTGGAGGGGAGGATATCCGACTTTAGCCAGCCCGAGTCACTGATGTGGGGAAGAAGAATACCCAATACTGATGCCTTTTAGTTTCCCTGTCTCTAATAAGGTAAGGTGGGAAGCTGAGAAGCTTTATATGAAGGTCACAGCCCAGAGACACAGGTTCACTAAAGGGCTGAGACCTAACCATAGGATTATAGAACTCCTTCCCTTCCCTACCATACCTCCATGTCAATAGAGCTCCTATATAAAAGGGGATTCCAGCTGAAAGAGCTGCAGGCCTTAGACCCTATTTTAAGAAGTCTCTAGGCGGAAAAAAGAAAAGGTCTCTAGGGAAACCCAAAGACACCAGGGGAAACAAGAACAAGGATAGTTGAGGAAATTTTAGCCTCTGACAAAAAAGCTACACAAATAGTAAACAGCTATATCTTGAGCTAAAGGCCTATTTACCATAGTTCTTTTTACTGGTAAATCATGTTTTCAACAAAAAATGGCAAGGCATGCTAAAATGTGAAAAAGACACTCTGAAGAAACAAAGCAAGCTACAGAACCAGCCTCAGATATGTCAGAGAGTTTGAAATTATCAGGCCAGTAATTTAAAATAACTCTGATTAATATGCTAAGGGCTCTAAGGAAAAAAGTGGACAGCATGCAAGAACAGGTGGGTAATATAAGCATGGAGGTAAAAATTCTAATAAAGAATCAAAAGATGTAATCTATGTGTTATAGAAACATCAGAAGAAAGGAAGAAACAAAAGAAATATTGGAAGTAAAAATGGCAAAAATTTTCAAAATTAAAGACATGAAATAACAAAGATCCAGGAAACTACAAACATCAACTGGGACAAATACCAAAAGAAAAACCTATGCCTAGTAATATCATATTCCTTAAAAGAAACCATCAAAAGTTAAAGGAAAAGCCACAGATTGGAAGATATATGCATTACATATAGCCAACAAAGACTCCATATTTAGAATATATTTTTTGAAGTCCTCAAATCAATAAGAAAGCACCCAGTAGAAAAACTGACAAAAGATATGAACTAGTAATATATAGAAGAGGTAAACAGACTACCAAGAAATAAGAAGAGATTTGTAACTGCATTATAATCAGGGAATTAAAAATTAGTATTATAGCAAAACACTATTCTATATCTTTTAGAGCAATAAATTTTTTTAAGATTTATTTATTTGAGAGAGAGAGAGAGCGAGAGCACGCAGGAGTGGGGGGAGGGGCAGAAGGAGAGGGAGAAGCAGACTCCCCACTGAGCAGGGAGCCCCAAACAGGGCTTGATCCCAGGACCCTGAGATCATGACCTGAGCCTAAGGCAGACACTTAACTGACTGAGCCACCCAGGTGCCTCTAGAACAATAATTTTGTAAAAATTTGATAATATCATGTGTTACCAAGTATATAGAAAATGAGAAACCTTATCCAATAATGGTAAAAAGATACAACTACTTTTGTGAATGATTGAACAATATATACTAAAGCTGAAGATGTACAGATCCTATTTCCCAATAATATCACTCCTGGGCACATACCTTAAAGAAACTCTGACATATTTTATGAGATTAGGGAGGAATTCAAGGCTTCATGTATATCTGTAAGGTTTTATTTAAAAAAAAAATCTGAGGTAGATTTGTCAAAATACCATTCTTACATTTCTTAGCTGGCATAATGACAATGTCACAGTGGTGTCATCTAATAGTGAGCTTCTATCTCGATCTTGTCCAAAGCTTTCACCATCTTCAAAGAGAAAACTGAAAAGAGATTAAAAAAAATAATTATTTTAACAAGCACACAAAATCTGATTTATTGCTTCTTCTAGTAAATAAAATTTATTCTAAATCATCATTCTCTCATCAAAGAAAGAAATTTTAGACTACACGGATTAATTTAAAAATATGTAACTGTTGGTTGATATTTCACCAAACAATTCTCATTTTTAAGTACAAATTGAGTCCATATGAATACAGTATATAAATACAAAGCATTTTAGGAATACAAGAGTGTGATTTATTCTCTTTGTTCATGCAGATTCAATGCTAAAATTACTCTCTTGACAATATGTGTATGTGCTCCTGAGGAAGTTTATATGAGTGAGAAATGATAAAAGAAGAAAAATCATGATAGTAACTTCTCAGGAGAAAGAATAGTGAATAATAAATGTATAAAATTTCTTTAGGATTTCAGAGAATTCATTTTGAGAATTTACATATACCTTGGAATTTCCATCATCTTATTTCCTGGTGTTCTGCTTAATTCAATGTGTCAGAAATATAACTGACTTAAAAATCAGTTTAAGGGGGAGAAAAAGTAGAGACCCAGTGTTCTATCCAAATAATTAACCAAAAAATGTAACATGTGAAGAAAAAAATGATCAGCATGTAATTTGTATTGTTACCTACAATGATCAAATCTAGCCCTAAAATCTAAAATTAAAAATTTAAAGCATTGGTGAAACTCAAGAGATTTAGGTTCACATCTTTATGAATAAATACAAAGAGCAATGGAACAGTAACAATTTTGATCCTTAGAGTTGTACTGTCATTTAACTTTGTCTGATTTATATGATGATGTCCAAGATCTTATGCAGTTCTGCAGAGTTTTCACAACAGTGATTTAGCACCATAATGATCTCTAGGACAATGAGGCCAAAGAGTACATTTACATTTACAATTGTAATTGGAAATAAAAAATAGTACTTATGATAGGCACTCTAGCCTAGTTTATTAACTCTCTTGAATATTACTATTCTTTCTGACTTGTACATTTTTCATTTATTGAACATCAATTATTACAAGATATTCCATAATAATGGGTCTACTTCAAATAGATCATAAAGCAAATTATTTATTAAAATATTAAAAATAATGAAAATATTAATGTGAATTCTTCAATTAAAAGCCTCGGCCAAGAAAATAAGGTATTGACTTCCAGTTGCTTTCATAATCACTTAGTTGGAATGTCTACCAAAGAAACCCCAAATTTAAAAAAAACGTTATTACTAAATATTTTTCATTTCCAAGAGAAACTTTCTTTCCTTACTTGGGGAGTGTGCAGATAGGTGGTTTAGATCGAATGATTTCCTTGTTGACAAGCTCTTTCTCCAAGTCACCTCCAGCTAAACACCAAAGGTAATATACTTCTTCAATAGATCTTTCTGCCAGATAATCACTGTTTATATCTATTAATGGCAAATGGAAAAGAATGAGAGCTATCACACTTTTTGTTTTGATTAAAAAGCAACAGGCAATAATAGCTGATATTCTCAAAAAATAATAATTGAAGAACACAGTAAGAGTACCTTTAAGAATATTCATACTATAAACTACAAAGGATGAAATGAAGATATACATATTGGATGTACATTCAGTTTCTTTGAGAAAAAGTAGAATTTTTACCCTCTATATTAGAGATATATGGGATATATATTCCATACAGATACCAGATATATCAGGCTCTGTGAGGAAGGGATAAGGACAGAAAAAAGCATTTGATAGTTAACTAACACGAACTATTGCATCCTTCATGTCTTGAGGCAATTGTTGCCTCTTCTGAAGAGTCTTTCTTATTGTCTCAGGCACGCTATGATTCCACTGCACTATGTTCATACTGACCTTTATTTATACTATAAATTTTTATTTGCCTCACCATTTGGTATGAAAGTTATAGTGCATGGAACATAGCAGGAACTCAAAAAAAAATTTGACTGAATGAATGCTTAGTAAATATTTCCTGCCATGACTAACATCCTAACTCTTCAGTGTAAGAGTATTATTGGTGCCACTAAAACACACATTCTGAGAGTTGTAATCTTCATAGATGAATGAAAAGAAAAAAACTGATATTCTCTTACTATGTGGAATATAATAGTATGGACTTCTACCTATAATACAATTTTTAGATATAATTTATAATAAATTATATAGAACAGGATATTATGTATGTTGATGTAGTAGAAATTCCACTGGGAATTAGAAAGCAATTTTGGCATTAAGATTTGACATGAAAATAGGACTTTGGTTTGCCTAATAAATTTTTTTTTGGTTCCACTTCCTCAATTCTTAAAGTTCTTGCTCCAAAGCAATTTAAACTTAAAGGGTGCCTGGGTGACTCAGTCTATTAAGTGTCTGCCTTTGGCTCAGGTCATAGTCCCAGGGTCCTGGGATCGAGCCCCACATCAGGCTCCTTCTTCAGTGGGGAGCCTGCTTCTCCCTCTCACTCTGCCTGCCTGCTCTGCCTACTTGTGTTCTCTATCTTTGTCAAAAAAATAAATAAAATCTTAAAAAAAAAATAAAGGATTAAAAACTTAGGTAGTTATATTTTAAGCATATCCAAAATTATCTCTTAATTCCCATACAGGTATCCATAAAGGCTCACTAATGTAATATATATGTTATTGGTAAATGCAAAACTGAAAGTAGGATAAGGGTACTTTTTCTAAAAATAAAACATACTGTCTTCTGTCTTATTTATCATTACCTTTACACAGCTGACTGATATCCTCAGGCAGAGTCAAATCAGCACATCTCAAAGAAGATGAAAACAGACTGGCAGGTTTGGTAAAGGGAGTATATAAAGGTGACACTTCACTAAATACCTTGTCCTGCATTAATTCAGCTGCAGTTGGCCTTGAGAAAAATTTAAAACACACAGTATAAATGAGATACAAATTTCATCATTAGAAATTCTTGGTATCACTTCTTATATAAAAAGTTATAATTAGTAGAAAATTATTATTTTAATTATAATTCATGTTTACCAGGGTAGATCAACTTTCTTTTTTTCTTAAACTGCTGTGTAACGCTGACCTTTTAATGTTTATTCCCTGATCTGTGTGTCTCATTACTCTTTTCAAAAATAAAAACTTCCATATATCACAGTGTTGCCAAATTAGTCAGTGCCTTACCTAATTTCAAAAATAGTGGTATGAGAAAAGAGCATTGGAAATATGGATATTCTTCTTATATTGAGAAATCTGATAGGATACTTGGCAAAACTTTCATAATACATGTCTTTTGTAGTATATGATGTAGGCCTATTTCTGAATATGGTATGAAATGTATCATATGGCTTTGGAAAAAATTAAAAGAAAAATAACAAATTTCTACGGAGTTTATTAATGTAAGAAAAAATGGTAAGAGCTAGCATATAGTTTATATCAGGGGTCAGAAAACTATGGCTCATGGGTCAAATCCGCCTACTGTCTGTTTTTGTATGGCTCATGAGGTAAAAATGGATTTTGGATTTTTAAATAGTTGAAAAAATCAAAATACTGTTATTTTGTGATATGTGAAAATTATACAAAACTCAAGTTTCAGTATCCAAAAGTAAAGTTTTATTGGAACATAGCAACACTATTTCATTTAAGTATTGTCTTTAGCTGCTTTTAAGCTACAAGTTCAGTGTTGAATAGTTGTGACAGAGACTGTATGGTCCATGAAATCAAAAATATTTGCTATCGGGTCCTTACCAAAAAGAGTTCGTTGATCCTTGAGTTAAATAAACACAACAGCATATCAGGTTTTTTTGTAAGAATATGAATCGATAATATATTTTATGATGTGGAGTTTAATATATCTATGTTTAGAAACATTTGTGCCTACATTTATAAGAATATGTTTGCTTCAATATGAAAAAAAAGAATCATACTTTGCAATATTTCATGTGCATTTTTCTTTTAGTCTAGTTAACTATGATTATTTCCCCGGTTATCTACCAAATTTTCAATTAACATTATTGTCAGTGGGTCCAACCAAATTAACTATGGCAAAATATACTTATAAACCTGTGTCATGGATGATGTTACAGCATTACTGAATGAACTATCACTAACTCAAATTGGCCACTAAATAACCAGCAATCAACCATAACAAAACCAATGTTTCTTTAAGTTACTTAGACATGGATTTGTGTCTGAGAAATATAAATAGAAACTTAAATACTGATTGGCAATTTGTTTGATTTTTCCAAGGCACAAAAATAAACATTAGAAAATGTCCCTTAAGAAATTTGCTAGAATAATGGCACACATTCAAGGGGATAGTTAAAAGTCTTAAATACATCACCAGTACAGAAAATAGTAAAACTCTCCTTAGCAGAGTCTAGATGTATACTTGTATATAAAAATGAAGTGACTGTAAGTAAACGCTGAATTTTTTCCCTCTTGTGCTTTTTGCATCTTATAATCTATCAAAGAGTATTATATATGAACATCTCCATTTTTTACTTTTATCTTGACCATGATCTACCTGTGTTATTGAATATCTTAATTAAAATTCTAAATACTATCTTTTGGTTTTCTTCCTCCTGTCTTAATGTGGCATTTTTACCCCAAATTATGTTGTTTTTTTTTTTTACCATTCCACTCTTCCTAACATGTATTGATAAAGATGTTTTTCTAAAGACTAATTAGAATACAGTATTTTCAAATATCATATACTTAAGGAGTTTAGGAAAGACAACTGTAAGGCTAACAGTGATATCATCAAATGAAAACAAATAATAATACTTCTAAGATCCTTTTATATTATTATATATATAATTATATATATAACAATTACATATTGTTAGCAATCAATATGTATTCCTATATATATGTAAATATTCTTATTTAATCCATTAGTATTATTAAAAAAACCCAACTACTTATATATTAAAGATGTCAGCATAATCTCTGAATCTTAATATTATCAACCTCTTGGAAGGGTGGAAGGTGAGACACTTCTTCAAAAGATTTATCACATTTTTGGGAAGGTCCTGGTAAATAAAAAAAGAAAAGAATTATTTAAAATGATCCATTTAAAAAATATATTTTACTCACACCAGTCAGAATGGCTAAAATTAACAGGTCAGGAAACAACAGATGTTGGCAAGGATGCAGAGAAAGGGGAACCCTCTTACACTGTTGGTGGGAATGCAAACTGGTGCAGCCACTCTGGAAAACAGTATGGAGGTTCCTCAAAAAGTTGAAAACAGAGCTACCTTATGAGCCAGCAATTACACTACTAGGAATTTATCCAAAGGATAAAAACATAGTGCTTCGAAGGCATACATGGACCCCGATGTTTATGGCAGTAGTGTCCACAATAGCCAAACTATGGAAAGAGCCCAGATGTCCATCAACAGATGAATGGAAAAAGAAGATGTGGAATGTAGGGGCTCCTGGGTGGCTCAGTCGTTAAGCGTCTGCCTTCGGCTCAGGTCATGATCCCAGGGTTCTGGGATCGAGCCCCACATCGGGCTCCCTGCTCAGCGGGAAGCCTGCTTCTCCCTCTCCCACTCCCCGTGCTTGTGTTCCCTCTCTTGCTATGTCTCTCTCTGTCAAATAAAGAAATAAAATCTTAAAAAAAAAAAAAAAAAGAAGATGTGGTATGTATATATACACTGGAATATTACTCAGCCATTAAAAAAATGAAATCTTGTCATTTGCAACAACGTGGAGAGAACTAGAGGGTATTATGCTAAGCTAAATAATAAGTCAATCAGAGAAAGAAAATCATATGATTTCCCTCATATGTGGAATTTAAGAAATGAAACAGAGGAGCAAAGGGAAAGGGAGGAAAAATAACAAGAAATAATTAGAGATGGGGACAAACCATGAGACTCTTAACCATAGGAAATAAACTGAGGGTTGCTGGAGGGAGTGTGGTGGGAGATGGGGAAACTGGTTGATGGGCATTAAGGAGGGCATGTGATGTAATGAGCACTGGGTGTCATATGCAACTGATGAATCACTAAATTCTACCTCTGAAACTAATAATAAACTATATGTTAATTAAATTGAACTTAAATAAAACATTTTTAAAAAAGAAAATAATTACTTAAAATGACCCATTTAAAAATATATTTTACTCTAATGTTTGCTATTCTAGGACATTTTGATTTTTCTAAAAAGTTTTTATTTGGACTTTATACTAATTTATATTAGCTTGTCACTCTATGAAAAAACAAATATCTGAACAGAAATAAACATAGCTTTAAAATAGCTTGCTATTAGATCTCAAGTATACAAAATACATACATTTTCAATAACAGATTAATGACAAACCTTTAAAATGTCCAGACAACCATGCTCTTCGGCCAGAACTACTATAGTGTCATCTACGCAATCTATAAAACAGAAAAACTGTATGAATCAATGCTACTTTTCTTATCTATCAGAACTGAACTCATATAATCTTTTAAAAAATTGTGTTATGCAGTTTTGGAACTTGGAATATTAAAAAGCTTGTGACTTTGTTACCTTTCCTTACATTTTTTGATAAAAATGAAGACTTTAAACACTAAATATTAATTGAATTACAGATACTGGAAGATAGCCACTAAATAGTGAAATAAAGCAGTGGTTCAAGATGAAGATTCTCTTGTTCTCTCTCCCTATAAATGTAATGTACATATACATATTACTCTTTTGTATTTACATAATTTGGAGAATGTACACACATCTCTGGGGATTTAAAGTATACATTTTTACAATCCATATCAAAATACCAACACCATACTTCACAGAACTAGAACAAATAATCCTAAGATTTGTATTGAGCCACAAAAGACCCTGAATAGCCAAAACAATCTTGAAAAAGAAGAACAAAACTGGAGGTATCATGATCCTAGATTTCAAGAACTACTACAAAGTTGTAGTAATCAAAACACTATGGCACTGGCATAAAAACAGACACATAGATCAATGGAACAGAAGAGCAAGCCCAGAAATAAATTCACGCTTACATGGCCAATTTATCTTCCACAGAGGAGGCAAGAAAATGCAATGGGAAAAAGACAGTCTCTTCAACAAATCGTCTTAGGAAAACTGGACAGCCACATGAAAAGAATGAAACAGGACCACTTTCTTACACCATACACAAAAATAAACTAAAAATGGGTTAAGGACCTAACTGTGAGACCCAAAACCATAAACACCCTAGAAGAGATCACAGGCAGGAATTTCTCTGACATCGGCTGTAGCAACATCTTTCTAGATATGTCTCCTGAGGCGAGGGAAACAAAAGCAAAAATAAACTGTTGGGATTATATCAAAATAAAAAGCTTTTGTACAGCGATGGAAACAACCAACAAAAACAAAAAACAACCTATTGAATGGGTGAAGATATTTGCAAATGACATATCTGATAAAGGGTTAGTTTCCAAAATATATAAAGAACTTAGACAACTCTTGAATCACTATATTCTACACTTGAAACTAATATAACAGTGTATGTTAACTATACTGTAAAATAAAATAAGAACTTATACAATTCAACACCTTAAAAAAAAATAATAATCCAGCTAAAAATGGGGAGAAGACATGAACGGACATTTCTCCAAAGAAGACATACAGATGGCTAACAGACACATGAAAAAATGTTTAATAGTACTCATTATCAGGGAAATGCAAAGTAAAATCACAATGAGATACCACCTCACACTTATCAGGCTAAAATAAAAAAGAAAACCCACAAGAAACAAAAAGTGTTGGCAAGGATGTGGAGAAAAAGGAACCCTGTGCACTGTTGGTAGGAATGCAAACTGGTGTAGCCTCTGCGAAAAACAGGACGGAGGTTCCTCAAAATATGATCCAGTAATCCCAGTACTGGGTATTTACCAAAAGAATATGAAAACACTAATTCAAAAAGATATATGCACCCCTATATTTATTGCATTATTTACAATAGCCAAATTATGGAAGCAGCCCAAGCGTCCATTGATACATGAATGGATAACAAAGATGTGGTATATATATACACAGTGGAATATTACTTAGCTACAAAAAAGAGCGGATTCCTGCCATTTGCAACAACATGGATGGATCTAGAGAGTATAATGCAAGTGAAATAAGTTAGAGAAAGAAAAATACCATATGATTTCACTCATATGTAGAATTTAAGAAACAAAACAAATGAAGAAAAAATAAAGAGACAAATAAAAAAAAAAAACAGACTCAACTATAGAGAACAAACTGATGGTTACCAGAAGGGAGATGGGTGGAGGGAGGGGGCAGGTGAAACAGGTGAAGGGGAGTAAGAGTATATTTATCATGATGAGTCCTGAGTAATGTCTGTACATTGTTGAATCACCATATTGTACACCTGAAATCAATATAACACTGTATATTAACTATACTGGAATTAAAATAAAAAAAAGTGTGAGTTTAGTCTGTAGACCATATTAAGAAATCTCTAAGACTCCTTAAAGCCTTATTATCAATCTTTGAAATTAAATGTTGTAAATATGGTAACATTTTGTGCAATTATATTTATAATTCATTATTATTTGATACTTGTTGATACTTTTCAATACATATTCTTATTTGTAAACCCTATTAACGTGGACACCAATCTGTCACTCTTTCACAGAAAGTGCTCTATCAGTTTTTCTCTTATTACCACATTAGGATATAATATACATGTAAAATAAATGAGCTTCTTATAAGGAAAAATATTCTTCTCAGTCATTATTCACACATGATTCATCAAATAGAAAGCTCAAAACTTAAGATATATTGTCTGAAGGTAAACTGCTACAGAGAAGTGTATTTATTCTCATATTTTGATTTCACAACTTGGTTTACTTGGCTAGATCATGAAGCTAAGAAAATATCTATCCACATTATAATTCCTTAATGAGTAAGGAAAGCTCTACAATAATACTTCAGAAGGCACTTCTTAAGTTGTCCTATTAATGTTTACCACTGATCATTAGAACATTAAAGAAATTCAGGATATTTCAGTGTACTCACTATTATAGAACACATTCTTAATGTATATGCTTACTAAAGGTTATATTTGTAGTTCAAACATAATCATTTGTGAGACACTTACCTAATGTAAGTAAAAATTTTAGTCTTTCAGAAATATCCAAGCTCTGAAATAATTTTCTTCCCTGAATAAAATGGGAAAAGAAATTCGTGTTAACATTTACATCTTTTTTCAGGGAGGCATTTTTCCCCCCAGAGATGAAAATGATTTTATCAGGTATCTCTTTTTTCCTTCAAAGGTTTTATTTGACTTTTAAAGTTAGCTCCACTAAAGAAAAATTATCAGTTTAAGATTTAAACATTTCATATATTTAAGGATCATTACATTCTAGTTTGTTCTCAAGCATTCTTCACTTTTGAGACCTATATATACCTGGTTGTCTAGAGAGATTCCAGTCTTATTTGATTAAGAGACTAAGATGACCCGTGGAAAGATTCATATTATCTTTACATTTACCCAAGTAATTCTTACTTATATATCATGATCCGGGTAATCTGCTGTCTCCATTAAGAAACATTCAATGACACTCCTTCCTCCTCCCACAATGAATTTGACAACCATCCTTTGCGATCCCATAGCACCTGGTATATTTATGATACATACATTGTATTTTAATTGTTTCCTTATTATTCAGCTTCAGGGGCTGCTTAAAATAGAGTCTGGAATCAGTCATAACTTCAACAATTATGTGTCAAGCAACTATTGTGTGCCAAATTGGACTTTTGACCACATGTTATAAAACTTGGGCAAATACTTAACCACGTTAAGTTTCACTTTTCTCATTTATAAAATTGGAACATTAACTGTACATACCATACAGGTTGCAGTGAGGATTACAGAATGTAAAAAAAGTGCCTCACATTTTTTGAACATAAAAATTCCTTCATAAATGTTGGCTATTATTCTTTTCTTACAAACAAATTAGAACTTACAGGATCCTTTAAGTAGACTTAGAAGGAAAGTCTTAAGAAGATAGCCTGGTCTTTATGTGGAGAAAAAAAGGCTCTGTTCTTTTTTAATAAAGAGAAAGCAAAAAGATTTCTTAAAGATTTATGAAACTAGAACTACAGATGGAGAGATCATTGAAAAAAAAGTTGCCATTCCTCTCAACTTTTTACACTATCTTATTAATCTTTTAGAAATACAGGTTTGATTTTATCAATATCTTGTTTAAAAACTTAAATGGTCCCCCATACCTTATATAACTAAATATAAACTTCTCAGTTTAGCATTCAAAATCTCCTAGGATATGACTCTAAGGTATCTTTTCATTCTAAGTGTTTACTATTTATTTACCTATGATGAACACACACACACACATACACACACACACACAACAGTTCAATTTGATTACTTACAATACGGTGAATATACTGTCTATTCAGGCATACTGATGATATGATATGATTGATGATATCATAAGATCATATGATTTTGACTGATTTCCCTACTAGTAATTTTTTTCTTCATGGCTATCAAAATTTTATATATATCCTTTATTTCATTCCCACTTCTGAATGTTAATTTTGTGAGTTAAAGAATTCAAAATTCAAATTACTTTCTATTAGCACTTTGATGGCATTGTGCTACTGTTTTCTTAAAACCAAGCTAGTAAGAAGTTTAACGCCAATCTCATTCTTGGTAGGTAGTACGTCTTATCTCTCTGACACATTTTAAGATTTTCTCACTAACACTGATAAAGTCATCAGAGCTTAGTAAAGGCAGCTTGGCGTGTTAAGAGTACAGCTTTGGGTATAGTTGATGGGTACAAATCTGCTCAAGTACTTACTATTATGTAACTAGGACAGGTTGCTTAATTTCTTTGTACCTCAATTTCCTGATCTGTAAACTACAGATAACAATTAGATAAATTTTATAAGACTGGTGTGAGTATGGAGTATAATAGAGATTAGCAACGTACCTGACTTTTGAAAAGTTCTTAATAAATGTTACCCATTATTTCATTATTGGTTATCTCCTAAAAGTTTATGATTTCTAGGTATTTGTTGTTGTACGTTGCAATTTCTTTCTTTCTTTTTTTTTTTTTTGCTCTGCAAAGTAATTTGTGGGTTCTTTCAAACCAAGAACTTTACTCTTGGCTTCTGATACTACTATATGACAGATATTAGAACATCTGGATCTATCTTCCCTGTCTTTTAAAATTTCTTTTATATTTTCAATCTCTTTATTTCTTTGTGATCTAATCTGGGAGAATTACTCAGCTTTACCTTCTACCTTCAGTGTGTCTAGTTTCCTCTGCCATCTATTTAGTTCTTTATTTCAAGAGTTACAATTTTTTTCTCTTAAAATTCTTAACTGGTTCTTCTTTTCAGCAAATATTCTTGATTCATAGTTTCTATAATTGTTTCATAAATGGAATTGTTTCCTTTATCTCCTAAAGAACACATACTTTTATTTTAAAGTCCTTTCAATGGTGTAAATTTTTCTATTTGTTGTTTCTTTTTTATTGCAGATATATGTATTTGCAGCATGTATCGTATTGTAGATATATTGCTTTAGGTGTTTGGTATTTCTTAGATATGTACTCACCTGTACATCTTTTGGACTATAGAAACTTCTGGGTGGCAGAGTGGCTGTACAGCCTCTTGGTGACATGGCAAGAATTTCCTAGCAAAACTGTTTTGGTTAGCTTTTCCTCTACTTCCTAGGATTTCTAGCGTACAAAAGTTCCCTTTTTAGTTGTTAGTGTGCTATTAACTTGTATCTTAATATTTTATATCAATTCTAAAGGTTTGATGAGGTAGAGGAAGATTCAAGCTTATGTTCAATATGCCATTCTAAAACTAGACTGTCTAAACTTAAGTATCACTTAAAATGTCATGAATCCCCTATTATGAAATTAATATTTCCTTTCTTGGAATTCATATAGCTCTTCTATGTTTATCTTCAAAGTTTATGGATTTGAATTAAATTATAAGCTCCTTGACAATGTGTCTTAATCACAGTTTACCTCTTGTTGCATTTGTCATGATGCTATACACAGAGTAAATAGTCATCTACATTTGTTGAATTGAATTACTCATAGAAGACATATCCTGATCATTAGTAAAGAGTTTATAGATATACGTGATGTAAAAAAAAGGAAAAGCTGTGTATTTCGCATTTACACTTACTTATACCTCACATTCCAATAAGAGTTTTCTTTTTCTTTTTTTATTTTAATTATTTATTTGAGAGAGAGAGAGTGAGAGCATAAGCAGGGGGCGGGGCAGAGGGAGAAGCAGACTCCCCGCTGAGCAGGGAGCCCAATGAGGGGCTCCATCCCGGAACTCCAGGATCATGACCTGAGTGGAAGGCAGATGCTTAACCGACTGAGCCACCCAGGCATTCCTCCAATAAGAGTTTTCATTTAGGGTATGATTTTAAACAAAAATGAGATTTGCCATCATTTCATATCAATGAAAAGTAAAATGGCATTTTCCCTTAGAAAAAGCAGTGCCAATATGTAAAGCTGCCATGTTATTATGAATATTAAAATATTTTATGATTAAAGTTAAATAATCATAAAATATTTTTAATTTTTAAATAAAAGATATTTTATTATTAATTAATTATTAATTAAAAATTTATTAATTTTTAATAAAAGATAACTGATGGACGATTTGCTATGTAACAGACTATACTAAGTACTTTATATTATTTCATTTAATTTTTCTAACAACTATATAATACAGACAAAAAATTTCTGCTTCTAAAGACCTCAATGTCCAAGTAAAGTACACAAATGTGACACATGCTATAATAGAAGAGGAGAGCAAGGAAGATAAGGACCTAATGCTGGCAGGTATTTGAAAGTAGGGCTGAGAGACTGTTAGTTGTCCCTCCAAATCCATTCTCATCTTCTTTCTCAATATTTATGTGTCCAGCTAAAGACTGTATTTCTTAGTCTCCCTTGTACAGATATGCAATGTAGCCACATGAGTAAACTGTCACCAATGAAAAGTAAAGGGTTGATTTTGCACTTTTAGACCATCTTCTTAAACAGTTACCATGAACTCACTTCTCTCCTTCCCTTATGCCTAAAAGGCGATAAAGAAACAACTTCGGAAACCAGACATTTGAGATTGGTGGAGCCATAGCCTAGGTTTGTGCATGAAGTGGACTGTTAAATCAGGGAGAAAAACATCTATGTTCTTTAAGCTACTACATTTTTAATTTCTTTCTTTTCAATAGCAGCTTAGTCTTTGCCCTAATAAATATAGAGGATGTCTGGGAAGGATCTCATAAAACACAACTCAACTACAAAGTGAGTCTTGTAGAAAACATAAGAAAACAGGAAAGAAGAAGGTATTTAGGGAAAAAAGAATACCACAGAAAGGGAGAGCATGAACATATCAAAGAGTGTAAGCAGCTTTAGTGTAAGCCTTTCTAGAACCGCTTAATTATTTATACGTAGTACAGTGTAAATTCTTTATACTTAGTAAAGTACAAACACTTATAAAGATACCAAAATGATAAGCAAATAAATTGTCAAACAGGATTTTTTAACAAGTCATATTGAGATTTAAGCCTTTTTATTCCTATATCTAGTCAATCCACAAAGCAAAAACATATTACTAAATAGCTTTCTTATCAGAAAAACTTATTCTAATAAGCACACAATTCCTTTTTATTAGTTTAATATTTCCTTATACATACCACACAAAGCTCAAATAAAATGATTCCAAGAGACCACACATCTGATTTGGGGCCAGAAGGCAATGGTTTTTCACTTGGCACATGATCGGTGGTTTTCAAAATTCCTTTTGCAATTACCTCGGGTGCCAAGTATGATGGATACCTACAGTGATATATTAAATAAATGAATAATTACTACAAACTACAAAGGGGGAAAAAGTAGTACTACATTTTTACTATCTGTATGATAAGATCTATGTAAAAGTCCAGTGCAATTAAATTAACAATTTTCGCTAGGAAGAATTCTAAACTAACCATCATAATACAGGTCTTCATGTCCAGAAATCAAGAGAAAAATACATATGCGCCTCAAATAATTTTAAAACTATTGTGTCTCTCTGAAGCATTAATTCCTTTCTTTGCTTTCCTCTCTTTTTAACACATTGCCGTCTTGCAGTATTCTGTTTCGGATGTTTTCCTTTCCTTCTTACTACCTGTTTTCCCCTTACACTTAGCTATTATTTAAAGTGCATTTTTTTTTTCTTGGAAAATAGTACATATTCTTTTGAGTAGTAGGAATGTCAAAATCTTTAAAGATACGTCAACTGAAAACTAAGATTCTCTCCCATTTCTGTACTTCAGGCACCCATACATATTTACAGATATAGATAAACTTGACCATCCATCACCACTGCCCCACAGGGCAGCATACTATACATACTACCCTGCACACATTTGTTTTTTCACTTAAAGTATATTTTAGAGATCATTCTATAAAAATAACTATAGATTGCATATTCTCTTTGAAAACTGTCAATAATTTCATTGTATTAATGCACTTAATTTATTTGACCAAACTCTGAAGAACATTTTGGAAGTGCCATTCCTACATGGATAATCAATTGAACCCTATTCCATTTATTGAAAACTCTATCTCCCCCCCAAAACAAGTCCATAGTACCAGCTTCTACCACAAATAAAATCTCTACCTACATGTTGATTTGCATCTTGGCTCTCTATTTTGTTCCACTAGTAAAATTGTCTGACACTGTACCATTATACTATCTTAAGTCTATAACATTATATAAATAATTGCAAATAATTGCTAAGACAAGTCCTCTCAAAACATACACATCTTTTTCCAACATCTATACAGAACTTCTCAAACTCAACACCCAAAGAACAAATAAATCAGTCAAGAAATAAGCAGAAGACATGAACAGACCTTTCTGCAAAGATGTACAAATGGCCAACAGACACATGAAAAAATGCTCAACATCACTCAGCATCAAGGAAATACAAATCAAGAACAATGAGATACCACCTCACACTAGCCAGAATGGCTAAAATTACCATGTCAGGAAACAACAGATGTTGGCGAGGATGTGGATAAAGGGAAACCCTCTTACACTGTTGGTGGGAATGCAAACTTGTGTAGCCACTCTGGAAAACAGTATGAAGGTAATTCAAAAAGTTGAAAATAGAGCTATCCTACAACCCAGCAATTGCACTACTAGGTATATACCCCAAAGTTACAAATGTAGTGATCCAAAGGGGCACCTGGACCCCAATGTTTATAGCAGCAATGTCCACAATAGCCAAACTATGGAAAGAGCCCAGATGTCCATCAACAGATGAATGGATAAAGAAGATGTGATATGTATAAATACACTGGAATATTACACAGCCATCAAAAAATTGAAATCTTGCCATTTGCAACAACATGGATAGAACTAGAGGGTATTATGCTAAGCGAAATAAGTCAATTAGAGAAAGACAACTGTCATGTGATTTCACTCATATGTGGAATTTAAGAAACAAAACAGAGGAGCAAAGGGGAAGGGAGGGAAAAATAAAATTAGACTAAATCAGAGAGGGGGACAAACCATAAGAGACTCTTAATCATAGAAAATAAACTGAGGGTTGTTGGAGGGGAGTGGTGTGGGGGATGGGGTAACTGGGTGATGGGCATGAAAGAGGGCATGTGATGTAATGAGCACTGGGTGTTATATGCAACTGATGAATCACTGAACTCTACCTCTGAAATTAATAATACATGTTTATTAATTGAATTTAAATAAAAAATTAAAATGTTGACTCCCCCCCACACACACCTTTTAATTTCTCTGCAGGAGTGTCTAGGTACTTTTCAGATGTTTGTCCTATATGTATACATTTAGAACTTTTTTTTTTTTTTACATTTAGAACTATCTTGTCAAGTTGTTTCTCTCTCTTTCTCCCTCCCTTTCTCTCTCTCCCTCTGACACACACAGAGTTGGAATTTTTATTGAAATTAGATCAAATGTAGAACAGGTTGGGGAGAACTGGCATTTTTCCGATACCAAATCTAACAATATATGAGCAGGTATCTATAATTATCTAGGCCTTTCATAATGTCTTTTAAAAATGATTTATATTTCTTTCACAGAGGTGCTTTCAGAGATAAAATACCTGCTTAGATTCTTATTAGGTATTTCATCTTCTTTTGCTAATGTGTAATTTCTTTGTATTAATTTTGAATCTAGCAACTTCATTAAACCCTCAGCATTTATGGGAGAATTCTTTTGAGTAGTCTTTGTCGATAAGCAAATCAGTTATGCTTAACTGATTTGTTTACAGTGACAGTTTTGTTTCCTCCTTTCTGTAATTATAGTTTTGAGTTCTTTTGCTGCCTTATGTGGTAAAACTGCTAATATGAAAATAACTGGTGATAGCTGACATCTTTGTCTTGATCCTCATCTTTTAAAAATACTTTTAACCTTTCACCATTATAGTTTCTTTGCAAAAATTTCTGTGTTAATCATGAATAATTTTGAAAATTTTTGAACATCTCCATATATTACAAAGAGAACATGATTCTTTTCCTTTTATATGCTAATGATTTTAAATAAATCAATTAATTACCTAATGTTTAACCAACCTTGCATTGCTGGAATTTTTGTTTCTAGTAATTTCACTTTTAAAAATGAAAATTTTATCTTCTTTCCACTTGATATATATATTATATATATATCTGATTTCTTTTCCTTGTCTAAGTGCATTCATTAGTAGCAGGTATACACTGGCAAATGATAGTGGTGTTAATAAATATTTTGTTTTAAACCTACTAACTTCTGGGTTGAAATCAATCTATCTACTAACAGGCAGATATAGATAAATGGGTGATTTTCACTACATTAAGGAAATATTCACATAGTCCCTTTTTATTAAGAATTTAATCAAGAATGTTACAATAAATCTATCAAATGTTTTTAAGAAACCACAGAAATGATTACTTGATAATTTACTTCTGATATGTTATCCTATTACATTATATTTATATATTTCCTAAGCCATCTGTATATTGGTAGAATAAACCACACTTGATAGTATCTTCTATATGCTTCTGGTTTTTGTTAACTTTTCTTAGGATTTTTTATACTAATATAACATATTTATACTATATAATAATAGATAATCAAATATGAGTAGGATTTATATTTAAACATTTCATGTGGTAATTATGGGAAGACCAGGATTAATGTTATACTAGCTTATGAAAAAAGATACTGTGGGTGCCTGGGTGGCTCAGTTGGTTAAGCGACTGCCTTTGGCTCAGGTCATGATCCTAGAGTCCCAGGATCGAGTCGCACATCGGGCTCCCTGCTCAGCAGGGAGTCTGCTTCTCCCTCTGAACCTCCCCCCTTCTCATGCTCTCTCTCTGTCTCATTCATTCTCTCTCAATAAATAAATAAATAAATCTCTCAAAAAAATAAAAGATACTGCAAGCTTTTGTTTAAAAATAACCTTGAAATGTATAGTATTATAATTTAAATGGCAACAAATTTAAGCATTCATTACAGGTTTGGTAGAATTTGCCTGTGAGTCTAATCCAGGTATCTCTGTGGGGAGAGGCAACTTCTACATTTCTATAACTGGTGTTTTTAGATTTTAAATTTTTCTTTGGGATTAAGTTTTGGTAATTTGTATTTCCCTTCCTTTTATGCTAATATACAAATTTGCTCAGAACTAAGCAAAAAATAATTTATTGAGTCTTCTAATGTTCTCTACTTCTCTAGTTATTTTTCCATTACCATATCTTATTTTGTGCATTTGAGTTCTCCATCTTTTCCTGATTAGGTAACTAATAACTGTTTTTATTACAGAGGCATTTCTTTTTGTCTCTCAGTACTTTACTATATTCTGGTGATAGATGTTATAGAAACTTGGCATAGGTTAATTTCAGTATACTTCACTGAAAATAAAAATTTCTATTTATAAAGTACATGAAAATTTTTAGCAGGAAATTCAATGGTAAATACAAAGGAATTGGTAAGAAATCATATTATTGTATAAAATATCTTCCTATCAGACTAAAACGCTGTTCATGTCTTCTGTCTTCTAAATTCATAAAGGTAAGCCACTTTATTTAATAAAAAAGACAAAGCCTTTATAAACAGTACATTTTATAAAATGTATCAAACTTCTAACTTTAAATTTCTAATGAATTCATTTTATGAATAATTCCACAAAACCTTAAGGTGATCTGCTGAGATGGAAATTATTTCTCCTCTCAGTGAATCACCATGGTATTTTATCTGTATCTTTCTTATACCTCTCAAATGATTATAAGATACTTATTTTATTCCCCCTAAGGTCAGGAACACGGCAGGGATGTCCACTATCACCACTGCTATTCAACATAGTATTAGAAGTCCTAGCCACAGCAATCAGGCAACAAAAAGAAATAAAAGGCATCCGAATTGCCAAAGAAGAAGTCAAACTGTCACTCTTTGCAGATGATATACTTCATGTGGAAAACCCAAAAGACTCCACTCCAAAACTGCTAGAACTCATACAAGAATTCAGTAAAGTGGCAGGATATAAATCAATGCACAGAAATCAGTGGCATTCCTATACACCAACAACAACACAGAAGAAAGAGAAATTAAGGAGTCAATCCCATTTACAATTGCACCCAAAACCATAAGATACCTAGGCATAAATCTAGCCAAAGAGGCAAAGGATCTGTACTCAGAAAACTAGAATACTCATGAAAGAAATTGAGGAAGACACAAAGAAATGGAAAAACGTTCCATGCTCATGGATTGGAAGAATGAATATTGTGAAGATGTCAATGCTACCGAGAGCAATCTACACATTCAATGCAATCCCCATCAAAAT